TCATTTTCTAAGAAAGGAAACTGAAATTTGGAGAGGTGTGTGAACTGGCTACGGTCATGAGCAGTAAGTGGCACAGTCAGTATCTAAACCCAGGTCTAAAGACTCCAAAAGTCAGCTCTTACCATGAAACTAGATCATGTATTAAAAGGACTTTGTAACTGGAAAGCATCACACAAATGGGAAATCTTACTCTGTGTCCATTGTGTACTTGGCAGCCTCCATCCATCCTCACGTCTGCAGGTCATGGAGGAGTTGATACTTGTAGAATGAGATTAATACAGGATGATGAGGACAGAGGGGTGGGGGTAGGGGTGGTGGGAGGTGGCTCATTCCCTGGCCATGTGTAAGCTGCAATGAAATCCATTCTGTGAATAATGGGAGGCCAGGGCACTAAAGCATACTATAATAGACTTGAAGGTTAAAACAACCTCTTATCCCCCAACAGTGAGAGCAGTCCTCTGGGCATTCTCTTGGCCTGCCTTTTATCCCTACCAAATTGTAGCTAATGAGGGGCAGAGGTGGCATTCATATCCACAAGGACAGAATCAGGTCTGTGGGATGTGTGGCCCAGCCTGGGTGCCCATAGGCCCCAATGTCATTATTCTATCATACAACAACATTCTTTCAACAAGCATTTATTTATGTCTACTCTGTGCCATGAGGTTATGACTAGCAACATTTCAAAAGTCAGAAGTAATGGACCAGAAAAACAATTTGAAGAAAACTTGGCAATATAGCTACTAAGCAAAGTCATCCAAATGGCATTCAAGGAAAACTATGGAAAGAGGACTACAAATAGAAGAAAAATGGAAAAGAGTTGAAAGAAAAAATTTCATCACAATTTTCTCCATCAAGAATAGTAGAACCATCACACCTCCTAATATGGCAGTCTCTGAGGTGCCTTTATGGCACGAAAGAGAGAATGAAGACAGGAAAAACAGCCAGGTTAGATCAAGTATAGCATGCAGAGAAAAACTCTGTGCTGGAGGTGATATGTTTGTGAGGTCATTGAAAGACAACATACAAGGTATCTGAAGGGACAGGAAAATACCAAAAGTATGGGAAAAAACTCAGACTTTAATATTTTAAAAATCGACTTGAAAGTTCAATAACTATTGGCCTCTATTTCTGCTCTCCCCTGTGTGTGTGTGTGTGTGTGTGTGTGTGTGTGTGTGTGTACATATGGATATATATGTGTGTTAAGGCAGCAATGGCAGTGGATAGAGAACTGGCTTCAAAACCAGGAAGACCTGGGTTCAGGTTCCACCTCTGATACATACTGGCTGTGTGATCCTGGACAAATCACTTAACTCCTCAGTACTCTCTCTAAGACTCTAAGTTGGGAAGAAGATGCTGCCCTGCATTGGTAGAGGGAGATTTCTTACCCGGATATTTCTTAAACCAGTGCAATTACAGGGTCAGTCCCTATCCCTATCCTATCTTGTCCCCATAATTTTTGAGTCATAGGAAAGAAGATTTTCACAAGCATTATTCAACAATGAACCGTGTCTTTACCATATCACAATTAAATAATTAAATGAAAGATACAGACAGTGTAAGTTCCCATCATACTTGTTATCCACACATCAAGATCGTTCAGGAGTTCAGAAGATGGAATGACAGAAGTAACCCTATTCATTGACCCTCTGCTAGTAAACATCAGGCAAGACATAAAACATGGAAATAGATGTAGTCCCCCAAAGGTATTTGCCACCATGATGCAGGTGATGTAGAGCCAAAGCTCTGCTGAGGAAAGATTGATTCTTGGGGAATGTTGGGGGTCCTCCAGGTTCTCCTGTTTGCAGATAACATTGGGCCTCAAGACAGTGCAGAGCCTCCTGGAAGAGATCTGCAGTCCCAAGGACTTTTTCTGGCCCGTCGATAAAGGGAAGACCAAGTAGAGGAAAAAAGGCAATTGCCCAGATTTCAACATGCATTTAGATGGATACCCTAGAGAACTTTTCCAGCAGTATGTGTACCTGGGACTGATGGTACAGATGGACAGCGTGCCAGGCTCAGTGTGGAAAGGGGAGAGAACAGGCTAGATTGCTTTCAGGACAATGCAGAGCTCTTTTTCCGACCTCAGGTTTCATCATCTTTTCAATACTAACATTTTATCAGTGTTGTTTGATGGCAGTGAGATGTTGAATACCACTGCTTCAGAAGAGCTAAGGATGATTATCATACAGAGGGCAGAGGAAAGGTCTGTGGTGCCAGGTGGCAACATGTGACCAATGAGGATGTCATCAAAGAATCATATGACTAGAAGAGAAGACGGGCTGAGCAAGAGGTGATAGTAGATATGTCCAGCGCCTCAGGTGGAGCCCCTGTGGTCAGCTTTCAGGAGGACATGGATGAGAACTGCACATGACAAACAAGTATGGATTGGTTTTGATTTGCACCATAGGAGGAAATGGAATCAGTGAGATCGCAGATCCATTTGACTATGTGCCAAGCATTGTACAAGGCTCTGGGGAATCAAAAACAAAAGTGGAACGATCCCTGTACTCAAGTTGCTTACATTCTACTTGGGGAAAACAACATGTATTACAATCATTTGTAAGAATAAAATATATGTGGAATAAATGCTGAGTAATTTACAGTGTGTGGGTGGGAGAGAGCATTAACAATGGGGAGGATAAGGATAAGCTTTATGGCTCACAAGCTGGGCCTTGAAGGAATCTAGAATCTAGAGGAGGAGGTGCATGGGGGACAGCCTGTGCAAAGGTGGGAGGTGAAATCTTATGGATGGTAAGCAACAAGGAGGGCAGTTTGCCTGGAACATAGAGTGTATGAAGGAGAGAATGATAAATTTGGGAACATCAACTAGAGCCAGGCTTGGAGGGGCTTTAAATGCCAAATGGGAGTTTCTGTTTATCCCAGAGACAATAGGGAGACATGGAGGCTTCTTGAGTGAGGGAGTGACATGGTTTGACCTGTACTTTAAGAATATCACTGGCAGCTGAGTGAAAGATTAGAGAGAGGAAAGACTGGAGGTAGGGAGGGAGAGCATTTAATGGGCTACTACAGCAGCATTGCAGCCAAGAGGCGCCAAGGATGGATGTAGGAGATGTAGAATTGGCAAGACTTGGGAACTGATGAGATGTGAGGGGTGGCTTTGAGTCTGGAAGCTGGGTAATGATAACAATAATGGCATTTACAAAGTGGATCCTTACAACAACCTTGTGGAGTAGGCGTTACTATCTCAATTTTATAGATGAGGAAACTGAGGCAGCCAGAAGTTGTGACTTCCAGGGTCACACATCTAACAAAGGTCTGAGTTGTGATTGAAACTGAAATTTTTGGGACTCCCAAGTCTAGTGCACTGACTACTACACCATCTAAATGCATTCAGATATGATTGGAATAAATTCTGTGATTGGNTGAGTTGTGATTGAAACTGAAATTTTTGGGACTCCCAAGTCTAGCGCACTGACTACTACACCATCTAAATGCATTCAGATATGATTGGAATAAATTCTGTGATTGGAAGATGATCTATCTGATGGGAAGAGTAGTGATGCCCTCCACAGAATAGGGATGTTAGGGAGAGAGATCAGTTTAGGGGGAAAACGTACGTTTGATTTGGGGCCCAAGTCCATTTTGAGATGCCAGTGGGACAGCCAGCTGAAGCTGTCTAAGAGAAATTTGGCAATGTTCTTGTTTGTAAAGTTGTAACAGAGTGTAATACTACAGGGTCATGAGGATGTGGATCAGCCAGAGCCTGCTGTTAATTCCTCCCGCTGTTCTAGCAGATAAGCATAGAAGACGGACAGGACATTGTGTGTCTTGTCACACAGGGAACCAAGGATGTTGCCTAGCTAGATGCTTATAGCCTAATTGGAACAAGTAGCTTTGTTGCCAAGGTGCCTGGAACCAGAGTAGGATCCCCACTGCTCTCCCCTAGGCAAAGCCAACACATTCACTGAGAAATGTAATGGACTCCACGAAAAAGGGGGCTCAGCTTTCTTGCTGGAGAGCAGCTGGGCTGCCCTGAGAAATGTTGCAGGTCTAAAGGAGAGTCACCTGTAAGATGGAGGTGCTTGGGACTGGACTTCCCTTCCTTCTCCTATGAGACTGGATGAGGGTGAAGATGATGAAACCATAGTATTTATTAGCCTTCTGATGAGAGCCTTTTTTGTTGTTGATTTTTTTAAATTTTAAATTATTTATTTTTAGTTTTCGACATTCACTTCCATAAGATTTTTAATTTTAAATTTTCTCCCCCTCCCTCTCCTTCCCCCTCCCCAAGACTGCATGTAATCTGATATAGGCTCTACTTATACATTCATATTAAGCATATTTTCATATTAGTCATGATGTATAGAAGAACTAGAACTAATGGGAGGAACCCCGGGAAAGAAGAAATAAAACAACAAAAGAAAAGGGGAGCAAATAGTACGCTTCAATTTGCATTCAGACTCCATGGTTCTTTTTCTGGATATAGATAGCATTTTCCATCATGAGTTTTTGGAGTTGTTTTAGATCCTTGCATTGCTGAGAAGAGCTAAGTCTATCAAAGTTAGTCA